TGAAGTCATCTGGTCCTGTACTTTCAATTAGCAATCAAACCCCTCAACAATCTCCTTAATACTAACTGGACTGTCCAGCCTTTGTTTCTTTACGATTCAGTCTCAGGCTGTGTTTCTAGAAATTTTTCCATTTCTTCTATGTCGATCAATTTGTTGGCATACATTTGTTCATGATAATCTCTTATTACCCTTTTTATTTCTGTGGTAGCAATTGAAATGTCTTTCTAATTTTGAGTCCTCATTCCTTGGGGAGTCTAAAGATCTATCTTTATCTTTTCAAAACATCAGTTATTAGTTTTTTTGATCTTTTGTCTTTTTTCTCTCTGTTTGTTTCTGCTTTGACATTTGTTATTTCTTCCCTTCTACTAACCTTGGGCTTAGCTTGTTGTTCCATTTCTAGTTCACTAAGGAATGGGTTTAGGTTGTTTGGATTTATATTTTGTTAAGATAATTAAGCTGCATTCCAGTCTATAAATACAAATTATTTTAGGTGTGTACTCCTGTATCATACCCAAAGATATTCTGGGCTACACTGTATTACTCATTTTTTTTACGATTGATTCAGAATGTTCATGCTGATGGGCTCTAAAATGATAAAACTTTTCCAAACCTTGTTGCCACTTTATAATAAAACGAAATTCTTGAACTTACAAACATCAAAACACCAGACACCACTAAAGTCAAGAATTATAGTCCATTAACAATGAAAGAAAACAAAGGTAAAAAAAAAAACAACAACCCACTCTTTAAAAGCTGCATTAAATAGTCTGAGAATAATGATAAACAGATGACTCCCTGTAGCACAGAAGTCTGCAGCTTCACAATGACTGCACATTAGAGATACGCCACCCACAGCACCGAGACCCAGGCTGGACAGACAGTATTTCAGGAGCAGAGCCCACGACAGCCTACGAAATTAGCTTGAACTGACGAGCTTACGCTGCAATTTATATTAGCATTCCTCATATTACTACTGTATTATTCACGGGTAAGGAAGGGCATCAGTATCACCCAGGAGGCCATCGCAGCGCAAACGGCCCAAGGGCAGTCCTGGTTGCAATGATCACATGAGATAGTTCTTTCTCTAACACTGTCACTTGGAGACCATTGATATTTTCCATTCTGAAGTATGCCAACTGGAACAAAATGATCCTCAGTTACTTTTAAGAAGTAAAAATGCCCAAAACAGGAGATTTCAACAAAGCACAGCCTAGCAGGGAAAACCATGATGAGGAGTTTTCCTATGTAATGTTGCTAAATTTAAACCACGTTGCTACCAAAATAGTCACCATCACCACCACCACCACCACCACCAGCACCACCAGCACCACCACCCTATTTACTGATTAAGAGCAAAAGGGCTGTCCCACAACCTTAAAAGGAAATGAACAAAAATGGACTTAAATTTTCAGTCCTATTATATCACACCCTTCAATGTTTCCTTTTTTTTTTTTTTTAAGTTTATTTATTTATTTATTTTGAGAGAGAGAGGGAGAGAGATAGAGGGAGGGAGGGAGGGAGACAGAAAATCCCAAGCAGGCTCCACATGGTCAGTGCAGAGGCTGACACTAGGCTAGAACTCACGAACCATGAGATCTGAGATCATGAGAACCTGAGCCAAAATCAAGAATTGGATACGTCACCAACTGAGCCACCCAGGCACCCCTCAATGTTTCCTTTAACAAAAAAGCCCAAATCTGTATTCTGGATATCTCTGCTCTCCTGGCTAACTCCTCCCAACCCCTCACCTCCAAGTTCACGTGCCATGCCCTCAGAGGCCCTTCCCTGTCTACCCAGTCCAAGCTCTCACGCCTTGCCCTCATCGTCCTTCCCATGGAAAGCTTCATTGTCGTTTCCTGGACTGCACACCTCACAACATGCAATTTGGCACGCATTAATACGAGCACTTACCGTTTGCCTCCTCACTAGACCACGTACTTTGCACAGACAAGGTTCGCACACTGTGGCATGTCCAATACCTAGTATGATGCCTTGTCATACGAAAGTGCTAGATAAATATTTTTTTAAGAAATGAACAGTGAATAAATTGCTAAATGCCAAAAACAAGACTTTAGATTTTCTTTGAACATATTGTATACCACGCCAAGTATCTTGGAGTATTACTATTTCCAGAGCAAATATGCACACAAATAGAGATCACACAACAGTAGCACATATTTACTGTCCTCATCTGACTTTGCTTGGACAGTGGCATGTGTGGAAGACTAAGGGCCCCATTTTCCAGCAGCCACTACCATCAACAAAGGAGTACATCCTGATGCGCCCCCAGGCTGCAGGGCAGAAGGAAGAAACAGCACGGAATATGAGCATCTGGCTTCTTGACTAACCACGGTAACCAAAGCTACCCTTTGAGATCTCCTGTTTACAACTCCAATCAAAGATGACCCTTTTGTTACCAGTATTGCATAATCCGAAATTTCAGGGCAGACAGACCACTGTTGATTCAGGTCAAACAGCTTTCATCAAGTATACCACAGACCCGGGCATTCTGACAGGGGATGGGGTGAGCAAGAAAGAAGAAACAACAATCCAGCAGGGTCTGGGAAGGGCCCAGAGGCCAGGCCTCACCAGGAGGGGTGCTGACAGGTACTGGAGAAAGGAAATCCAGGGTGAGGTCAACACATAACTGGAAAAGCTAAGTGGGCCAACAGCCACGACAAGAGTAAGGACAGTCTAAAGGGCCAGCTGACCAGGAGTGAGAGTTTGAGAGGGAACAGAGGGAACAGAGGAATTTGTGAGCAAGGTGCTAGGCTCAGGTGGGATGGAATGCTGTGTGTGAGGCCCTCATTGTACGGATATAAGGATGAGTAATGTGCATAAGGGAAAGGCTACCCTAATCTTTAATTATGTCTCCATTTTTGTTTTTCTTTTTTAAGCCACAATCATTTGTTGCTTATAACCAAAGTATCCTGCCTGATTCAGCATGGCTCCTGCCTGTAGACAACTCATTCGTTTTATAGATGAGGAAACAGAGGCCCTGAGATATAGGATTTTCCCAGGCTACAAGATGGAAGAATTCCTCCTCTACTACTAGTAATACGAAGACCATAAACACAGATTGATTTTCGAATTTAAATAACTTTAGGTAAAATTCAGTTATAAAAAGTAAAAACCTTTATGAAAAGTTAAAACTGGAGCACACAGAGGTAGGTAATGAGTTAGGGAAAAGTCAGTGATCTTCTGATAGTGGAATATCTATTTCATATTCCAGCTATATTTCATATTCTATCATAACATGAAGCCTGAGCAATCAAAGATTTCTTAACATTTTTTTAAATATCCAAAGCCATGGTATCAATATAAAATTGAAGATTGAGGAAAATAAAGTTACCGAGCTAGACGTAGGAAAGACGAATGTCAACACACAGACAAATAAATGGAAGGACCAGGCCCATAATATCAGAACTTTTTTGGCTTAAAAACTTTTGTTTTTATCAGTCTCTTAGGGTTTGCCTCTCTGCCTGTTTTTATCTTATTTTTCTCTCAAACACAGAGAACAAACTGAAGTTTCCTGGAGGGGAAGTTAGTGGGGAGATGGTCTAAACGGGCGATGGGCATTAAGGAGGGCGCCTGTGATGAGCACTAGGTGCTGGAGGTAAATGATGAATCACTGAATCTACTCCTGACACCAATACTACTACTCTGTACATTAACTCACTTGAATTTCAACAAATGAGTTAGGAAAAAAACTTTTGTCTTAGTATCCTCCAAATATTTTTGGACTATAAAATACTTCTACTTCCTTAGCCCTCCAAGATTCTATTATTTCACTTCCTCCTTTTCTCAGCATCTTTGTAAATCTGACTTCTTTTGTTTTCCTTATCAAGTGTCCTTCCCTTTGTAAAACCTACTTTACTTCCCCTTCTCTGGCCAAAAGTTTGGCTGCCACATAGTTATCTTTCCTGTTTTCCTTGTTGTTTCCTATTTTCTGATCTAGCCATTCCCTCATTAATACAAGATAATCCTAACTGGTACATTCTAGCAAGTTTTTCCATGCCACTGCTTCAGAAACAGCAACAGGAGGTTTTTAAATAAAAACATTAAGAAAGGGTCATCTGTTTCTAAGACTGACTATCAATACCACACGTGCTTCCATGAAGCTATTCAATTTTCTCTGAACTACGGGTTTTCAGTAAAAATGGCAATCAAGTCTTATTTTTTCCAGATGGTCCAAACCCATTATGATAAACATGTATAGCCAATGCGCCATATGGAAATTTCAGGTAAATCTAATTTTTCTAGTAAAAGAAATTACATTACACCTTAAATAATTTAATTAAAAGAAAAAAACTGTCCTATCTCAATAGGTAGACTATATCAACCAGAATGGAAACTCAGGTGTCTCCCCATTTATACCTCAGAAAATAAAATAGTCATTAGAAATTTACATTTTATAGACTTCAAAGCTATGAGAGGAGATATAGTAAACTTCCTATGGCACTTAGCTCTGTTTACTTCCAATCTTTCTAATAATGACCCAAATTCCATGTACATGTACACTGTGTACAGCTATTGCTCAATAAATAGAAGGAAAATGACAAATCTTAGTGAGGTTTCCACCAAGACTTAACACAAAAACTAAGATAAGGAACATCATTTATCTTTCAATACAACTGTTCCAAAGTGACGTATGTTGGTTCCACTACATGCCTAGCAGTGGTCCGTCAGAGGGTAGCAGGATGGGAGGGTCTGCCCACCCAACCACTCAGGGGACACGAGCGATGTTTGGAGACCTGTTTGGCTGTCCTAATAGGATGGGAGTGGGGAGGATGTGCTACTGGCATCCGGTGGGTCAAAGCCAGGGATGCGGCCACATATACAATACACGGAGCAGCCCTTAACTGCCAAGAATTATTTGGCCCAAATGATTGAGAAACTGTCCCACAGGGAAAACAGACGGAAAGAAAAGAGCAGCAAAGACCAGGAGTACCCCAAGTCACCGTCCGCCAAGGCCTTCCCCCTCTGTAGGGGCCACCTACCTTGGAAGCCTGTGGTGTGGATATCACGTGGACTGTGCTGGGTTTGACTCCATTAGCCTTCGGCCGCTTATAGAGAGCAAATCTGCTTTTCCTCCGGCCTCGGTCTCCATTAGGTAAAGCACCATTGTACCTATAAACAAAGATGAAAGAGCTCATTTACTTGTAGATTTTTTCAAGTTTTAAGAATAAAGGATAGAATAAAGGAAGCGACAGGGATGGTCATAAAAAAAACTGCCCACTAAATGCCCCACAGAAGAACGGGCTATAAAATAGACTTCAGCTGTAATGAAATTCAAATCACTTCCAGAAACTTAATTTAAGGGCGATGTACAAAGTAATTATAGGTTTCCTATTCTATAAAGTCAGACTCTTCAAATCTTTTTGGAAGGAGACAGTATAAATAAGCAAATGAGAATTCTGCAGAGGCTGTATTAGTGCTGGCTCAATTTAGCAAGTGTGGTTCTAATGGACCCCAGAGAAACACTCAAGAAATATTTTTAAATGAACTAGTTAGAAAATAGCATACTAATTAAACCTCATCTCTCACTCCCAAATCATGTTAATGTCTTTAGGATCTTTATTTGTAAGAAGACCAAATTTAGGTACTTGCAGTCTTAAAAGTTCTGAATTCTCTACATTCATTCCCATTGCTATTTGAACCCTATAGTGTCAGGTGAGCAAAAATACTTGTGAAAATTAAACATAAAATGGGATTTCACAAGAGCATGGCCCATAAAGAGGCCCAGAAATAAAAAAAGAGGAGTTTTAGTCCAAACTGTCAAATAACTTAAAAAGTCATCTGGAAAACAATGTCCTTAATGTAGAGCTCTTCCCACATTAACACCTGAAGTGAATACCAGCAATTAAAAGATATGCTGGGGCGGGGGCACCTAGGTGGTTCAGTCGGTTAAGCTTCTGACTCTTGGTTTCTGTTCAGGTCAAAATCTCGTGGTTTGTGGGACAGAGCCCCGCGTAGGGCTCCATGCTCACAGCACAGAGCTTGCTTGGGATTCTCGCTCCTGCCTCCCTGACTCACACCGTCTCTCTCTCAAAATAAACAAACTTTAAAAAAAAAAAAAAGAAAGAAAGAAAGAAAAGAAATGCAGGATTGGAGTTAGTGTTTCCGTTTTCAATTGTAGTTCTAACTCGATTAATGGGTCCCTGTAGGTTCTGACCAAGGTCTCATGTTGCCACACTGACATGACTATTCTCCGTCTCCTTCTTTGGAGAAGTTCCTTTAAAGAAGAGAATAGAAAGAAGGATAGGGAATCTTTATTTTATTTTTATTTTTTAAAATATTCTTATTTATTTCTAGGAGAGAGAGAGAGAGACAGCATGAGCAGGGGAGGGTCAGAGAGAGAGGGAGACACAGACTCTGAAACAGGCTCCAGGCTCTGAGCTGGCAGTCAGCACAGAGCCCGATGCGGGACTCGAACCCACGAACCGCGAGATCATGACCTAAGCGAAAGTCGGATGCTTAAACGACTAAGCCACCCAGGCGCCCCCCCCCTTTTTTTTTTTTTAAATAGGATAGGGAATCTTTAAAATTTTACATAAATGGGACAGCTCCTTCAGAACACCAAAGTTGGGGACAGCACATCTGGCGACTTGTTCCTCTCCTGAAAGTCCTATGGTTGCCTCTGCTGAGCCCCTCACAGAAGTACGCCAAGGCAAAGGGACACCAGGCTCACTGACACTAAAAGTTGGAACAAAAGGGCTTTTTGTTTTACAATTTGGTAGCTACAGTTTGACGATGGACTTAAATTATCACTCAAAGTTATTCCTGCTGTGTTTTTAATCTGCTCCAATTTCCATCACAAAGGAACATCCACTACATAAAAGTGTCTCCAGAATAGAGATGATTTATTTCAAGTCTCCTTCTTCTGAGGCAAGATCAAAACAAACATTGTTTTCTTACCCGTATCTGTGATGGCTACTATAATGAATGTACCCATGAGAAAACCACGATTATAAACCCACTTTGATTTAACATATTTCCAGATCACTTACATCAAGATGAAGATTTTGCAGTAAGAGAAATATGTGTAAATCAATTAAAGCTAGGACTCTCAACAATTTAGAGGGACATGTTCACCACTGAAGCCTTGAGGCAAATGGTACAAGGTCTGGAAGGGTTTCCTGTGCCCCTCGTGTCTCCCCTGCTCTCTGCCGCATCTTCTAAGTGTATAGTAACCTCGCAAGAGCGGGTCAGATGCTTTTCCGGGGTCCGCTCACAACTACACTCCCTCCTCAGGAATCCATCCCTTAACTCCCTCAGATGAGCCCCAGCACCACGCGTGAGGGAAACGGCCGGGCAGCACCCTCCCCGCCACACTGTGGCTGAATGGCTGGAGGCGGACATCTGGCCGGCACTGGCCAATGGCGTGCTCATCCCAGGAAGCACAACAGTGGGACCGAGACACACCCTGCCAGTGTCTGTGGATGGCCAGAGCTGCAAAACAGAAGTGCACCGACTGTGGGGATGTCACAACGTGTTACATGACGAAGCAGCAGAGAAGCGAGGGACGAAGCAGATGAACAGAGACAAGCAGCAACAAGAGACAGAGAGAGGGTCCTTAGGGCTTCTAGTGACCCAGATGTACACTGACCCTTGTTCATGAAATCCTCTCTAGTTTCAGCTAACTCAAGTTGGTTCCTACTACCTACGGCCCCAGAGTCCTATCTACCATAAAGGGGAGGATAAACCCACAAAACCCAGAAGTGTCACCTTCCCACAGAAACATGTATCTTGCCGGAGCAGAGATGCCTGCAGGGTAAGTGAATTGTATGCCAGCCTATACACAGATTTCCTATGTACTCAACCCGTCTAGACAATGCTCAGTAAAAAATTCTATTGAAATAATTAAGGTATCAGTGGAAAAGCCAGTGTCCCAATGAGACAAGTTTCTAATTAGGTTAAGTGGCATGGCATTATGAATGTTGAATGAATGGCCAAGTACTAGAGTTACAGCGAGGAGTATCAGCTTCCCTGTCTTCAGATCCCTCCACTTAAATGCAAAGAAAGGCATAAAAACAAGTGTGATAAGACACATCAGCAACAGGACGCACTAGGGCCCAAAGCACATGGGAAGAGGCATGAGGGAAAGCTGCACGGAGAATACAATGCTTGAATGGTCTCTTTTTGTCTGTCAAGTTTATTTATTCATTTTGAGAGACAAAGAGAGCCTGAGTGGGAAGAGGGGCGGGGGAAGAGAGAGAGGGAGAGAGAGAATCCCAAGCAGGCTTCACAGTGTCGGCACAGAGCCTAATGTGGGGCTTGTACCCACAAGCCGTGAGATCCTGACCTGAGCTGAAACCAAGGGTCGGACACTTAATTGACTGAGCCATGCAGGCGCCCCAATGCTTGAATGGCCTGAAATGTGAACAAGGCTAAATGGGGAAGGTGGGGCAATACTATATTCAAAGGCAAGGAGTACAGGCAGTTCAGTACTCTGACAGCAGAGTTCAAGGGAAGAGAGGTCTTGGGCCAGGGTCCAGGTTACCACAACAGCCTGGTACTCCATAAGTGGTATGGCTTTTTACCTGAAGGGAGTGGGGAGCTGGTAAGGTTAAGTAAAGGGCTAACACGATTGGGTAGAAAGCAATCACTAGGGCAGCACAGCGCAGGAGGGACAGCCAGACTGGAGTCAAGATGACCAGACGGCAGAAGCAGCCTATCCATATGGGAGGTGGAGTGGGTCACATACTGGCCCCCAAGTAGATGGGACCATGTCCCAGAATGTTTGGAAAAAGGGTCTTTGCAGATGTAGTTAAAGCTCTGGAGGTGAAATCATCCCAGGTCACTGGAGGGCCCTAAACCCATGAGCAAGCGTTTTCATAAAGAGACACACGGGAGGTTTTGGGGGGGTGGGGGGAGAACCAGGGGAACACAAAGGCAGAGACTGGGGTTAGACCCTCTCCAACCAACGAATGCCTGGAGTCACCAGGAAGTGGGAAGAGGCAAGGAAAGACCCTGCCCCCCCATCCCCACCCACCGGACTCCCAGAGGCAGCACAGCCTTGCCCGCACCATGGCTCCAGACTTGAGGCCTCCAGCCAGAACCGGGAGAATAAATTCTGTCCCCTTCAGCCACCAAGTTGGTGAGACTTTGTCCTGATAGCTTCAGGAAACTTTAACGGTCTGAACCCAAGCAGCAAGGAAAGGAGTTGAAGGATTAGACAAAACCTGCAGAGAGTTGTTTGCAGTGTTAGATGAGCATCAGAATCACCAGGGAAGCTTGACAGAACTATGTATACCTAGGTCCCAAGGGATCAGGTACAGGGCTCCAGGTGTGCCCACTGTCAAAGGTGCACAGGGGACGTGTACTTGCAGCCACTGCCAAGCTCCTTGGTTCTGAAGACAAGTATTGATGGTATTTGGAGACCCGTTTGGCTGCACAGAGTGAGGGACAGAGAAAGGTAATGGCATACAGGCCTCTGGCCTAGGCCGGGGTGGGGTGGGAGGGGGGTGGCATTATTAGGAAGACAAATGGGAATTACAGGGATATCCAGGGAACGACATGCAGGAGGCAAGAGGAGTTACAGACGTGGCTGCTTTCACAGTACAAGTGTGGCAGTTAGAGTCATGAGTGTAAATGGGATTTTGCAAGAAAAAAATGCAGAAGAAAGAAATGAAGGACAGGAAGGCAAGGACAGAGCCTAGAAAATGCGTCCCTTTAGAGAAATAACCCCTCCTACTATAGTCACAGGCAGAAGGAACAGGAGAAAGTTATGGAACTAAAGACAAGAGAATTAACAGTGGTTAATGAGTTAAAAGGCCACTTCATAGAACAGAAATGCACTACCATGATCTAGAAGAGACCAGGTCATTGGTGACCTCCTCCATCTTCAGAGCGAACAAGTATACACGCCAGCCCTAGACCCTGGGTCTCCCTCGGAGCCTCCCCTCCCATACCTTCTCCTCACAGCCAGGAATCTCAGGAGAGAGCTCCTCACCCACTGTCTTGTCTCCAGTCCTCACGGGCTGTTCAATCCACTACCATTTGATCTTTGCCCCAAATCTGAAAGTGCATTTGGGGAGCACCTGGGTGGCTCAGTCAGTTAGTGCCCGACTCTCGGTTTCAACTCAGGTCATCATCTCACAGTTCATGGGTTTGAGCCCTGCATCAGG